CTCAGTAACGAAATCGATAATTCGAAAATCACAGTTGTCAGATAGTTTTCAGTCCAGAAAGAAACGAAAACCGTAACATTTAAGTTTCACTAACACCACTACTTACCAGGTAAGTACCAATACGCCATATCTCAGTGTTAGTATTCCCAGCAGCGCTAAACTCATTACCGCACATGTACTCCTGGTACATAGTAATTACAAAGCGCCAATGCACATTGATGGGCATTCTGATACGATTAATTTAATAAACGTACTTGATGGATCGTCTTAGGTATTACCGAATACTAATAACAAATACATCATTTAATTACTTTCCAGTTTTTAATTAAATGACACCTCATGATTTAAATATACATAATATTATAATGAATAACCAAGAAAATATGTCTTTTTTTTTCTTTTTACACGCTTTATATTAGCTTCAATTGTATGTTTGTATGTTTGTTTGTAACCGGCTGCTTTGGGCGTGATTTTGCCTGACTTTAAACGGTCAGAATTCGTTCAAACTTTGTAGATATATCGAGGACCGATGACAATACACTAATTTAAAAAAAAAAAAGAAAAATAATAGTTTTAAAAAACTAAAAAACACGCTTTTTATAGCGCGGGGTGCTTTTTACTATTGACAACAAGCACCCAACGTTTTTTTTCACATCACACATCACATCAACAGCCTATAATAGTCCACTGCTGGACATAGGCCTCTCCTTAGAAAAGAGGGTTTTGGCCTACTTTTTTTTAAATTTATTAAGATTTATTTTCTATTTTTAGTTTGGTTTTCTATAATTTTTTATATGATTTCTATATGTCGAATGGACTCGGCACTAATGGCACACTGGATAGGCCTACACGTGAGGCCAAGCGCCTGACTGATGTTACTAACACTAGGCTAAGAATTATATGGACTAAGTCTGAAAATAAATTATTTTTATTATTAAAAGCGTGTTTTTTTGTTTTTTAAAACAATGTTTTTTTTCAACTAGGTTTTATATATTCTGCGTCGCGCGGGACTTTACTAATATTCATCAAACGGACTCAAAGAACACCCAGACTCAGCACAACAATTTGTGGATTACAAAAAGCGTTGTTGATGATTGTTTGAAAGTATTAGGTACTATTAGGCAGGTGTGTATCTGTAATTGTATTTACAGCATTTCACGATTGTAAAGAGATTTATGGCCGAAAACATCTGTAACAAACTTTCCGTTCCTAAGTTAATGTTGAGTATAATAAATTAATACCGTGACAAAGTATAACAAAAGCTGAATTTAAATACTTCTAAAGTATAATTATATTATACTTCTATAAAGTAAGTCTTTAAATAAAAGACGAAAGTTTGCAAAACATTTATAAAGGTAATATTTTAACGTGACGGGTGACATGAAATAAAGGTTATTTAAGTGCTCAATTTCAGAAATAGTTAAGACATTAACTTAATATAGATGTTTCCTAAGTACAGCAGCTTAAAATGAGTGTATGAAATAATTGCTAACAAAAAAAAAAAACACAAAAATAAGTAAGTACAACTTAAACACATATAAAACTTTAAGAGTTTTCCTAAAATGGTCCCGTAGTAAGGGTCTAGACATACCAAGCGACGACCGCTCGCCATTTCAACAAACTCAACTGTTAACTTTGATATAATTAACGAAAAATTCAATTAGAAAACTTTTAATTGCATTTCTTTTTCCGGTAGCATTAACATTTCTTTTTTTGTTTTATCACAAACAATTTTGTTTAACAAGTACATCGATATTAACGTGAACATTAAGTAATAGGACTAATACCGACAGCCCTTCGTTCGCCCAAAAACTAAAAACCACGTAGAAGGTCAGATTAATCTAAAAAAAGCCAGAAATAGCTGAAGTTGAGTAACATGACGATAAAGTAGAATTATATATTACATAACTGAAATATACATTACAACTATTCTTCTGGAGCTGAAAGTTTGTACGAATGTTAGGAATACCATCGAAACCAGAGAAGTAACGGTCGATCGCATATCTGACAACAGTTATTCAATGACAAAGTACGCTCAAATACAAGCAAGAAACCAACGAGATAAACATTTTAGACCACATACTCGTATATATATTATCGTCTAGAAAAAATATCATTTGTCTTTCCCTTGGAAAATGAATTAATGAAACTGGATTTTAAAACCTGATTTTTCGTAAAACAACTGAATTTTTACGAGAATCTGTGCGTACATAGCCACCGTGTTAATCATGAAAGTTGTCCCCTTATGATTATAAAAATTACAAGCTTATAATTAATTCAACTTAAGTGAAATTATCTAAGATGTCCCCATCATTAAGATAATTGGACATTCCATTATAAGAATGACATTAACTTAACAGAATTAAGTTGCTATGAAGGAGTTTACTTAGCGAATGAAAAGAGCCCCTTCAACAAAAGTAGAAGCAACATTCCTTAACGTGGCTGAATATTTAATGCTATTTAAAGAGTACCTATTTGTACGACTGAAGATATTTCACTAAGCGTATACATGGGCTATTTATATTAAATATACAACGACTGAAAGACTTTGAAACTCATTATCTCAATCGTAACTCTTGCTATTAAATTTTATACAAGCATAAAATATTTAATTCATTCAAATTCGTGTTTGCGCTAAACATTTGTGGAGTGTTGATCACAAAACAGCTAATGAATAAGTCAATATGTTTACTTAATGTTTTGTTTTCTGAGATTTATTAATGCTTCCCGCTTTAGTTTCCAGATATATTATTATATTACCATATTCTCTCTACATGGAATAATCCTTAGGGCAAATTACTACAAAACCGCAACAGTTCATACATAGCTAATGGTACTAAGGTCTAAGAGTGTAAGCGCTGACCCAAAACTTGTGCAGCGACTTGTGTTTAATGGGAAACTTGAATAAATGGCACTGGTCTTTGGTTTATTTGTACTGAACCCTTAGACGGCAATTTGAGCACATAGGAATGGAAATACTTATTCGATCATTTGTAACTGAATCACTTCATGAAATATGAAAATAAATCCGTCAATATTAGGGCTGAGAGGCTTAATACAAATGACCCAAGTTCCTATCGTAGATTATTCTGAGATAATATCAATTTACCAAATATGTAAAAAAAAATTACATGAAGGTGTAAAACTTTATAATGAAATACCTGATGATATTACTAAAAGTGATTGCTAAGATTACATTAGGAAAAAGTACGAGCACCAATAAAATTGTTTTCATATCTTAAGTTTATTGCTGTACAGTGTATTGCGTGCAATGGGAGACGCCTATGTCCAGCAGTGGACTGCGATAGGCTGATGATGATGATGATAGTGCATTGTGATTACACATCACACATCAACAGCCTTTAATAGTTCACTGCTGGACATAGGCCTCTCCTTAAAAAGAAGGTTTTGGCCTACTATACCACGCTGGCCAGACGGGTTGGTATAGGGTTTGTGTCAAGTTTTCCTTCTTTTTGCAGTGCTGGTGTCCTGCGTTATTTTGCGCCCTTAGTCGGCTCTTACGACACCCACGGGATGAATTGGGGTAGTGACATTCCGTATTCTTAATCCGTTACTACACGGACAGTGTGTTTACAGAGTGTTGTGATTACAGAGATACTTAATTTATTATGTGTTATTTAATTTTTTCACTATGTTAGTGAACGGTATTGTTCTTTTTCAGAGAAAATAAATGTTAGATTATTATAATTATACACCTATTAAAATTTGGGATACGTATTACGAGTATAAGCCTCTTCTACTACAGACGGTTCGAAAAGACAGTTATAAACTGTAACAAATCGATAAATAGCACAATCCAGGATTAAAATATGATGAACGTAGAAAAGTTATTAAAAGCTTTAAAGTAAAAAAATGCAGAATGCTTGTTTAGATTAAAATATTCTTAAACGCATTTTTTTCTGTTCTTATTAAGGTACGCGGTTCGTTTTGCTTGAAGAATCTCTTTTGAAAAAGCTCTTTTATTTCTGCTTTACTTCACTTAAATTTGTTGAGTTGGAAAGCAGCAAGGTGCGAATATTCAAATTAAGCTCAATGCTGCTAACCAACACGTCATCCTCGTTACACATGTAGCGAAGTAAAAATCTCTTTAAAATATGTTCCTGTATCCTATCAGCAAATATTGGGTGTATGAGACAGCACAACCCCTTTCGGCTTCATATTTATCTAGGATTAATGAAGCCCTGTATCTATTACCTGAAACTTTTACAAACCAAAGCCAAAAATAACTATTGCACGAAGGCCCGTACTCTCTCTCTGTAAGTTAACCGGTCAACTCCATCTTCGAAATGTTCGTTGAGCTCACAACTTCAAATTACCATAAAAAAAAATGTGTAAACCTCCTTTCTAAGGAGGGGCCTACGTCCAGCAGTGGACTATTATAAGCTGATGATGATGATAATGAAACGTCGTTACTAAGAGGATCTGCCTTGCCTTATTTGGTTTTGTTAAAACAAGGCTAGACGAGGGCAAAGAAAGTAAAACTAAATCAAGTAGCGTTGCTTTGATGAAGATGAATGCGAGCGAAGCGAAATACTATCAGATATGATTATAATCCATTCAGTGCAAACATCAATGATGAAAGATTTCGTGTAACGAATGGTACAAGTTTCCCGTCAAATATTTGTTTGAAATCCTCTTGAAATTGAAATCAAGCTTGAATAGATCTGTTGATGAATTCTCCGATTTCGCAGATTTCACATAAAATTGTAATGCTTTATAGAACTTAAACAATCACAGAAATTAAATAGCTCTTTCAGTTGTTAATGATTCTCATTTGTAAATCTGTTCCTTAATGAAGATTATTATTTTAACGATAAAATATAATTCAGTAATTATATCTTTTTACCCACAGAAATAAAGTTAGATATAAAACATGCAGTTCGTTCCTGATTAGAGTTCTATACCCAAAGACCATCAAAGTTAGTCGAGTACCGCAACTAAAATCCCTTCGAAACACATTCACAAACGAAACGTCTTACATCATGAATGTTCTGCGTTGGATCGTGTATGAGGTCACCATAACGGTCCGTTCTGATCTCACCGTCCGGCAGCGGGGTGCGACACTCGGCGTCGAAGCGAAACTGACCCTGGCACCACACGTGAACAAAATAGCAAAAGAAAAACATTAGACAGTGATATTGTACAAGTGCGGGGGTTTAAACAACACAAAAGCGAGGCAAACGAACAAATGTATGAATACAAGCGGCGCGACATGCTTACACGCTTGCATGCTTCAATATCTACGAGCATGGACGCATGCGCAGCGGCCACTTCGCGCGCTTCGTCGGCCATACGCCGTCCCCTAGGTGTCGCGTCTTCCTTGACTACTACGCATGCTTCTTCTGTTTCTGTAGGCTCAACATCTTCCTCAGCAGAAGCTACATCAGGCGGCTGGACCTCAACAGGTTGGGGAGGAGTTTCGGGATCGGGATTAGGGGCATCAGCGTTTTCAAGCTTGGGAGCGGTCATCTCGCTCACCCTTTTATGATTCTCCGGTAAACTGATGTTGCATTCGTTGTCGAATCTGAACTGACTCTGTTTCCATTGTAAGCAAGAAATAAGTAGAGAATGTGATTTAATATTAGATATTTAACATACACATAAAAATCCTTCACTGAAGATTTCATTCTTTAAATATGTAATTACCACGAGGTTCCGTAAGAATATAGGCATGAGAAAATCTTTGCCTTATTATTTATTTTGATCAAAATAATAAAATTACTTAAGAATACAAGTTAATACTTAAAATAATATCTATTCCAAAAAAAAAACAATCAAATATTATCGAAATAGAATATAGCGCTTACCTTATACCCTGGACCAAGCCTATGCATGGCACAGATCTGGTGAGTGGTGAGGGCCTCTCCGAACAGGTAAATGGCAGCCATCTGCCCGCAGAACACTCGCTCCTCATCCAACTCCGCCGTCGCACCGATGTAGCACTTGTCGAATGGCTGTTGAAATAAACACATTACTATAGCATTGACTTTATCTTTGCCATCATAGAATCCTTTTTAATAGAGTAACTTCTACCACCTTAATACATCTCGCCAGACGTCAAGACTGACTTGAAACAAACTTTGTTCGTAAACATTAGTTTGAAAGAAACATTTTAAAATAGTATTTAAAAAAAGATCTAATATAGTCTGCTACGCAGGGTGCGGGGCAGCATCAACAGCATTCTAAAAATGATCTCTAGTCGAATGGATTGCGTGATCCTGAAACGGTGTTGCAAGCTTTCTGCTGGACTTGCAGCATAATACGAGTACCTATCTATGAGCCATGTTAGGTATAGGTTCATCTCTTTGTGTTCGTTGTGATTTTTTTTTTAAATTGATTATTTACTAACATAGTTTTAAGTCAAATTGTTACTAGCACTATGAGTTTGGTTACTCGATGAGCAATGGATAAATAAATTTAAAAAAATTGGATAGTTTATTTAACAGTAGTAGTTATTTCCGTACATATTGTTAAGTCATTCCGTACCTTGTTTCATTGTTATCGCTCAAGTACACAGAGGGTTCAATGATTTTTTTCACTTAATCACGAATTACAACAATATTTTTTATTTGTAAACCATAGGTCACTATACCTATAGTACCAGTGAAGCAAATAACTAATATAAAACAGAATAAATCATGGAAGGCGTGTTCACAAAATAAATTCCTGTTAACGTAACCAGAGCAAACATTGAGGGCAAAGTTCCTTAATACAAAATGAAGAATCACGTTAGAGGGAGGTATTTATCGAAGGAATTTGGGATCAATATAGCAAGTTTACCCTAGCTTAGGAACGTTTGGTAAATTCTTTATGAGTAACAACACACAACGAGAACAAAGTGAAAGCAATGAAACAAATTGAATGAAAGAATACTAAGAGATTACTTTCAATGGTTAAGATGCATCCCGGGTTTTCCTATCTATATAGTTTTGAAAAAATGATTTGGTATCTACTTTTAAAAATAATTTTAAAATGGCATACACTTAAAAAAAACAGTATTTGAACATACGTATATATGGTAAAGTCAAACGTAAAAAATAAATTCATTAGTTGATTTATCTATGGACAAGTTTTCTTAACATTGAAATAATCTAAAGTACCTCTAGAATATATCTAGACAAATCCTATAACACTTTTATTAGCTGTCATATCCTATCATGTCACTATAATGGATGAGGAAAATGTGGCGAAGAAAGTTTTAGGTATGGGAGTTGATGGGTACAAGAGAAGAGGCAGACCGAAGAAAAGGTGGATGGACTGCGTGAGGGATGATATGGCTAGGAAGGGAGTAAACAGTGAGATGACGCATGACAGAGTAGAATGGAAAAATCATACATACTGCGCCGACCCCAAATAAAATTGGGAAAAGGGTAGGCAGATGATGATCCATTTATGTAAAAATATCAATCAAAACAATCATCACTAATATAATTAATAAGATAAACCAACTCAATTAGTATAAAATTTGCGAATTGTGAAAACTAATTATTTCAGAAAGACTTAAACAATTTCATAGACATAACAGATATTGAATTAAATGCTTTAACAAAGTTTAGCTGTTGTACAACAACGTCAAGAACTATTTAATTTGAGTCTAAGCATCTTTAACATAAAGGTTAGGTAAAGCAATTGCTTCTTTTCTTTATTTACTAATCAAATAGAAATTGTACTTGATTAGTAAATATCCTACTAATTTAAACCTATTAATAAGCTCCTAATTACTACCACTACAAGGTATTTTTTCCCATTCAAATTTAATTATGCCTATATAACAAATTTCAAACTTGATATCTTTAAATGTCGCATAGTATTAATCATTAATTTCTATAACTATCAAAAGAGTAGTTGCAATAAAATCAAACAATTTCAAAACTAGATATAAATATAGATAACTGTTCAGGGTATTTTTAAAACTTATGCAAAGGTTTAAATATTCAAACAACCGATTGAATATATAATATTATAATTAACTGTGGTATTCACAGAGCTCTCACCCAGCAGCCTATTTATCAATGTAAATGAAATGAGACGCTATATACCCCCAGGTAATTATTAAAATATCAACATTATTCTGGCTCCGTTGGCCATCAATTAAACAAAGTAATTAAGGGGAGAGACATTTCTAAATGTTTAAGAATACCACGAAGGCGGATAAGTACGAAAAGATGATAATTTATTCAGAAAATCACTTTTAAAACGAGAATTAGGTGGGTTTAATGTTGTTGTTATGGTCATTCTCACCAAATAACAGGTTCGATCATAAAATAATTATAAATGGATAAACGGATCTGAATTAAATTATTACATTAGCGCAAAGACATTATAATCTACAGTAGCATATAGGCTACCAATTATAGCGAAAAAAAAGATATTGGTGATTGAAAAAAGACCTTGACACGAGTAAAGTCGCGGGCAAAAGCTAATCAAGAATATTTCCACTTTGAGTACGATGCTCGGTACATATATTAACGTAATAGCATATATATGCAAGTCAGTGAAGCTTAGTTTCAAGAAGGACGCCTGCTGTTCCCAACTTCGCCAATTCTAAACAAACCATGGGGAATATTTACGCAACATTAAATACACGACAACATTAGCTAACGCCACTTCGATTCTACCAAAGTCTCGGAGTAAGGCAATTTTGTATATTCCTATATTCGTATATGGGAAAAACTTCAGTAAAAAGCAACATTCAAAGTATTTGGAGGGGCCTAAGTTTGTATACGGTGACAGCATAGTGATTACAGAATAACAGCTTTGTAGAGCTTTCAGATCTCTTTAATCCATTGAATACACTACCGACATCAACGTAAATTATCATAAATTATCATAATTTTAAGCGTTATTGTAATGCTACCCCAACCTCATCATTATCATTTTCCTGCCGTTTCCTGTTTATTTACTTTTATTTAGGGTTGTTTCATGTATAACATTGCAATAAGTTTTGGGTGAATTATTTTATGGCCTGCCATCAACCTGTCACCCATATGGTTTTCACATGGAACTAATGTAGAAGGTATCATATCGGACGTCCGTAGACTTGCGTTATACATAACTCCCGCGGTTTTGGGTGCGGGCAGGCGCTAGAAGGTGTGCGTAGGTCTTAATAACAGCTGTTCCCGGATCTCTCTTATTACAGACGGTTTTAGTCGGTTCAATTTCGATACACCGCCTCCCTCGGCAATCTCGGTAGGATGACGGCCCGATAAGGTTTCTATACTTTAAAAAGAAGTCTCAAAAAGGCTGGGCTTCAAAGCGTACCCATAAGTCCGTCCCTTTATTAAAAACGCCTCTGCTCTAGTGGCGTTTAAAATTATAGGAACATCAGAAGGAATATTAACCAACCAAATTGAGTCCAACCTATACATTTTAATATCTATTTAATATATTCCTTAAAGTAAGGATCTCACTTTTATCTGTTTATGCTCAAATTCACAAAACACAACTTAACTATGTAATTGTTTTCGTGTTTTGTAAATTTTGCAATAAAATAAAGCTCAAACGGCGGTAATAAACTCCGAAATGGTGTCGTAAAATCTGGGAAATATGAAGTTACATCCATCCACTTCAATTTTTCAGGGCTTCAAAAGGTTACAATTTTTTTTTAAATAAAAAATATATTTATAAAATAACTGGTTATATTTAGTACTCGTTTATATATTAATTCTATAACCCTAACCTAACATATACAAGCATTGGCCATTAACTTTGATATAAATTTGCATTAATAAAATCGGCTTTTTAAGTTTTAACCCTTTTCACCTACTATAGTAAAATAAAGTTATTTCATGTTGTTTTCATTTTAATCATAATATTTGAAGTATAATCATAAAGTAAGGCAGGAAATTAACACCATAAACCGTGAGAGAGTACGACCAGGGCCTCAATTCTGCTATTTTACATTTACGTTTAAGTCACTGTTATTCCATTGACACGCTATTGAGATGCCATTGGTCAAAATATCGGTATTCTACTAACTAAGTTCAGAGTGTCAATAGACTGTCGATGGTGTGGTGTGGTATATTTTCCTTACAAATTTAAAATGTACCGCCTCTTGTACTTGTCTAACCTGGTGTACAATAAAGCAATATTATTATTTTTATCTTTTATTAAAATGTACCATTTACCAAACTGTTTTGTATCTGTGGACGACATTTGTATCTGTGGCAGTTCAGTGACAAGTCATCAAGACACGCGAGCGGAGCCGCAGGCAAAAGTTAGCACTAAAAAAGTGAATTGTTCTCTATAGAGTGACGGAAGGTTCGGACTTTTCGCCAAAAGCCGATTCGCTTTATAAGTACGCAACTCTGACCTATCTATCAATCCAAATCTATCTTGTAAGGAATATCTTTTTCCCACTACTGTCTTCCCTCATTATCTACTTTTTTAACGAACACGCTCTGACCGGATGGGAGCGAGACCGAAAAATGTGTATCATGGGTTCATAGACCCCTCATACCATTTTTGTTTTTAATTTCAAGATACTCAAACAAAGTGACCGGTTGACAACAGTAAGCTTGCCCTTTATTACGCTCTGTCAACCCCTTCGTAGGTATCGACTTGAGTGTTTGTATGTATGTATGAATTGTCTGTATGTTATCAAGTATAATAAAAAAAACAATTAAAATAAAATAAACTGAGTTCCATATTCATTAAAAGATTATTACGAGAGGTAATAATGTTGTGTACTCCTCAGAGCAGTAACAAAATTAATAAATAATTTACATTTCAAACCAGAGCGCTCCACTTGTAATTGATAAGAGCCTGTTCTGCGAAATACAATTTCTCACCGGGAGTGGGCCCATTCTAATTGCAGTGGAATTCGTGATCGTATGTGGGGAAACTATGATAACAAACACTCATACATTTGTTCCTATATTATTTTTATCTCTTTTAATAATAAAACCCCTCTTACAGACTAGTTCCGATCTCACAACTGTCATAAAAGGTATTT